TATCTTAGCATACCTGACACCTATCTATCTCTATATTTTTGTGTTTGCGTGCTATTTTACTTACCATCTTTCATGATCACCAGATAAACATAACTAACACACCAAAAGTCTCACCGCAATGCTTGTCATCAACATACCATCAATCTTTTTTGTTCCAGCACAGAATAATGACACCATTAATGAGTATTGTCGTCTAGTTCTCTCATATTCTTATTTAATCCTTTCGAATTTTCTTTGTTACATTGCCACAATCATTTGGTGTTACGAATTGAGCAATCATAATCGTTTCATAAATAAAAGTAACAAAATATTGATAACTCAAACACCTAACAAAATGACTAGGACCCAAATTTTTGAATGGACTAAAGAAAAATGTGGCATAGGTCTTTTTGTTATTTTGTCAGCAGAACCAACCCAAACACATTTTGAGGTGTAAAGCAAAATTTGATTTAAATTATTTTTAAAATAATATTTATATATAATTTAATATATATATATATATATATATATATATATATATATATATATATATATATATATATATATATATGTGTGTGTGTGTGTGTGATATGTGTTCCTAATTTCTGAATTAAGCAGATTGAATTAAGCAAACACGGTTATGGTATGAAACATACATCACTCAAAATAAATCAATCATATTTTATAAGTAATAATTGAATTAAGCAAATAATGACATTCAAATTAAGCAAACTGATTTACATAAAGAATTGAAAAGGAATTGAAATTGCTTTGGAAATTATAAAAACCTCAAAATGGATCGAAGCATAGTTACAAGAGATCAATCCCTAGGGCGTTAGTTCTCCATAGAACTCGTAACAACTCTTCTAATTTGGTGAATACTGAATGAATAAAAACATAGCTGCGAATTTATTTTAATAATAAAAGAGAAATCGGGCCCTGATAGCATCTGACCCGAAAAACATAAAAATCGGTCCAAAACTAATTATTTTATTAAGTCTAGAGATAAAACGAATTATTTTTCCCTTTTGCATTTCAAATTAGCTTTTGACTTCATTTAAAACTTATAACTTATCCTCTCATCTTTTTCAACGCTTATTAAAACGCATCAAATGCCATCTCGTAGCTCAAGTTATGACCTGTACAATGAGAAGGCTTCAAATTACTATTTAAGCTACGAATACGATACGAAATTAAAATAAAGGTACATATAACTAAACTAGAAAACACATTAAAATAGTAAAAATAACAATAGACATTCTAGAATTGTTGCGGCATAATAGTGAAAAAATGTGCATAAAAATGCACTGATCAACCCCCTACAACAAATACAATAGAGTAGTTTCAATACACTAAAGTCTGCATACCGCAAAGACAAATGTGTTGCACCAAAAATGTTACCCCTAAACTTAATCAAAGAATACATTACAAGACAAAACATCATCAACAACAACATACAATCATAGAAATATCCAAACTATCCCAAACCAATCTTAGTCATTTGTACGTTGAAATAATTCTATAAATTTGTTGATGCTAGAGATCCGCCTAAAAACCCCACCAAAGCCCACCACCTAAAATCAAGTTTGCGGACTGATTAAAGATAGCACAAGAACCTCTATATACTCAAAATTCTAAATAAAAAATGCTACCAAACTAAGGCCAACACTAGTTTGACAATTAAATCTCCATTACACAAAGCTCTCTAATAAATAAGTCATTGGCTCAACATTGAATCAAACACATACTGAAGCATCCTCTCTGGACTCCTTGGCACAAGCAATTCTGCAACACAGCAACTCCCGCCCTAACACTTGTACCACAACTGAAACCACCACCAAAAAGTGTGAGTGAAACATCGGCTCCAACTGTGCAGATTCACCCTCGACACAACAAAGTTGCAAACAAGCAACAACACAGACACCTAAGCCAAACTATCTGCCAGATAACTTAGCGAATATAACACATTGCCAATGCTACCAACGACACCTCTTGATCAAGCGACAAAGGCACGCCTTGGGATTCAGATACCACATGGTTATGTCGTCATATATTAAATTCGACTCTATTAAAAGTCACTTCCAAGCCAATAATTTTGCCTCCTCTAATATTTTTTCTGATTTGAATCTCCACATTTCAGAAGACTTTATTATTTCTATGTATATAAATACTCCAAACGCAAGTTGCCCAAATATCAACTAACTTCTTATATGACATTCTTCTTCTAACTATCAAGTTTCTGAATTGCTTCATGGGTTGCCACCCAACATTACGAAAAGTTGAAAATGCTCCAATCCAGTTACATATGGCATTTCACTGCAAAATTCAAACACTTAAAAAATATGTGAAAAACTGACTCCTCACTACCGCACTTGCATGCACACCCTATATGCCCCTGTGGCCTGTGCTAATACTCCTCTTCTTTTAGCTAAGTTGTCATTCATATGAATTCTATTACTTAACAATCTCCACACCATATATATATATATATATATATATATATATATATATATATATATATATATATATATATATATATATATATATATATATATATATATATATATATATATATATATATATATATATATATATATATATATATATATATATATATATATATATATATATATATATATATATATATATATATATATATATATATATATATATATATATATATATATTTCATACCTTAGTCTAAGGATGGCTAGAAGTTGGTTGGCCGCCTAACACCAAACTCCTATACACCACTTTCACTGAATACTCGTATCATGTGGCAAACTCCCCAACCTCCAAATTACAAATATTCTTCCACTCCAAACACCTTACACTTTAGAATGGTCTAGAATGAACGAGAGGTCTAAACAAATTTGAAAAATTCTCAAACAATCAACAATATGGCCCACGTCAAGTCCACCACACGTTTTTGTGTGAAAATGCTTCCCAACATGTCGGCACAAGAATTTCAACTCACTACGTAACAAAGAAGATAATACTCTATTATTATTGGATCCATTATTAGCCACTTGGCAGCATCATGGAACGTGATACCGTAGCGTGCGTCATGCGCCGCGTTACACCCTATCTGAAAACTTTTGTGGCCAGTTAGAGCGGTTACGCATACACACTTCTGGTTGGCGCCTTGTTGTCTGCCACGTGGAGGTTCCGTTCCTCCCGCTATTTTTTTTCTCACTTCAATTCAATGAACCTTTATTATATTGTTTTAGTTATTCGTATGCTTTAGATTCAATTATTATTATGATTAATTACTAACTATTCTATAAAGTGGCTTTTTCTATGGTTTAATCATTATTCTTCCTACTATTATTTCCTCTGATTATTCCCTGTTTGATTTTTATTCACAATTTCGGTGAAATAAATAGCGGTGAGGAAAAATCGAAAAAAAATCCAAAACTTAGGGATTTCGATTTTCGTTTTGTTGCATTTGAATTTTGAATCAAATTATCTTCACAAACGCACGTTATTGTGAAGTAGAAGCAAAACGCGAGGCTGTGAATGTGAATTTTGAATTAACTTTTAAGCCTCACTTTCTACGTTTGCTTATTCGCTTATTCTTCAACTACTGTTTTGCCTCTGAATGCCATCGACGATTTGTTCATTCATCGTTTTGCTGGTACATTTCACTTTCTCGTTCTCGTTCTCTTCTCTTTGCTTTGGATTTTGATTGTTTCTTCGTTAATTAATTTCTGTTATAATTTTTTTGATTTCGTTCCTTTTGTATGAGTTTGTTGTGAACCTGTTTAGATTATGTGTTTGATTATTTTCTTGTTTAGGGAGATAAGTATATTATTCTAATTTGAATCGATTTTAGTTGGTGAATGCAGTGATAGTGATTAACTGGACTGTTTTTTGATTAAGTAGGGTTTTGTATTTTGATATTGTATTTTTTTTTACTAATATAATTGAGCATTTTGAGTTTGTTTGGAATCAAGTATCTTGTGAATTGATCAATTATTTTTATTTTTAGAATTGTTTTTTTTCCTCTTTCTTTATCATGTTATGCACTTTCTGGGAAGGAGATAACGAAAATTACTCACTTAAAATCAATTCAGTTGAGTTTTGAACTCTGTAGTACCGACACCTTTGAAAAAAAGGTGGATATATGGTCGTGTTGGTGTCTGAAACTTACATCAACACTTGTGGTCACATTTAATTCATTCATTTTTCCAAATTATTACCGGTGTCGGTGTCGTGCTTCATAGGTCTTAAATATGGAATTTGATTTGTGAATCAATTCACATTATCAAGTCTCTCTGCTTCAAAAAAACACCTGATATGAAAAATGAATTTAAAATCAATTAAATATGATTTACAATTTTCAGTGATGCCAAAGACGCCGTTAAGTGGGCAATTGGTTGGTATCTGTTGTTAAAAAGTGGCTGTTGAATTTATGTAACATGATACCAAGTAGTTTTGCATGCTTGTACAAGCTGCTTTTTCAATCATCCATAACTTGCAATGGGTTATGGACTTATAATTTGGTTGACAGTCTCATCACCAGTTAGAATCATTATAAGTTTAATTTTTTTTCTCAAAACAAATTGCACACTGGTATCTTCCCTAATGATGAATTTTTTTTATATAGATTGTGGGATAAATATTGGAGAGGTATCTCTATGGCGGTAAAATGAGAAAGTAAATGGTTCTTGTTTAGAGTTCTTTTAAGCTTCATTTCTTTATCTCAGCGTGTGTCTGTTAGCTTTAATGCTGAATTTAGTTATATTCATTTTTCACTTCAGTCCTTTACATCTCTGTTCTCTTGCCTGTTTTTTCATGGTGGAAAATATTTAGTTACGTTAGACCTCTTTCTGCACTGTAACCAAAGGAAAAATCAATTTTTCAATAGTGCGTTTATGTACTTGCGTCTAAAGAAACCATTTTTTACAGAGATGTTGGTTTGATTTTAACCCTTTCTGGTGATGGACGTGATTTGGATTTCTAATGCCTTTCTTTGTGGGTAATGATATTTGTCAAGTTTCACAGTGCAGGGAGCAAGGATGGACATTGTTGCTCTTTTAACTTCAGCTGGAATTAATATTGCTGTGTGTACGGTGCTCTTTTCACTTTATTCTGTATTAAGGAAACAGCCCAGCAATGTTAATGTGTACTTTGGACGGAGACTAGAATCTCATCGTTCACGACACCCTGATTTCTGGCTGGAAAGATTTGTTCCCTCTCCTAGCTGGATAGTAAAAGCATGGGGAACATCCGAGAATGAGATATTGGATATTGGTGGCTTGGATGCCGTAGTTTTTGTAAGGATACTTGTGTTCAGGTAATTTAATCATTCTAAAATTTGATAAGTTTAAGCTCTGTGCCTTGTGTTATCTTGATGACATTGTACTAGTGAATTTGGACTGCTTTGTTATCTGAGTCATATTTTAACCTGAAATCAACCAAATCTACCAAGCGAGGATTTCTAATATCTAGATAAGTGGAAATGAAGATGCTTTTAAGCTCACTCTAATGTTTTTTTAAGTATACTCTCTAGATGAACTAGATCTTGCTAAGAATTCATGTCAATAATATATATTTGATAGCACTCACACGCATCATGTACCATAAAGTTTTTTTTTAATACAATACAAAAACAGGCCCAGACAAAAGGGCTCAGACTTGGGCCTTCTGCCTCAGAAGATCCACAGATCTAGTATCCTCGGCCCTGTTGTTTTATTGGTCGATGTTAATTAACATGCAAACTGCTGCACAACAATTTTATCACGTTGTAAATAGTTTTATTTTGTTTCATCAATAATAATTTCTTATTTTGCATATTTTGCTGTTGTATGGTACAGGTATTAAAGGTCTAATGCAATTTAATAAAAATTTATGCTTTTATCTCATGATCTGTAGTAAATGTATTGCTAACTGTCTATCACCAATAGTGATGATTTTTTCACGAATAAGAATATCTTTACATTCCTTAACCATTTATACATCCATAACCGTTATTAAGATTTGTGCTCAGAGAGAAAGTAGCAACATTAAAATTTATGCTTTGATCTCATAATTTGTGGCAAATGCGTTCCTCCTAACCATCAATCACCAATAATTTTTTGCATGATAAGAATGATTTTGCATTCCTTAACCATTATATATCCCTAACCATTACTAAGATTTGTGCTCCCAGACAAAGTAGCAACATTATCGTTGACTATACATATTGCCTATTGATATAGCTATGCCAGTTGACTCATTAACGAACTTAGGTAGTGATGGTAAGTTTGAGTTTGCATTGTACTCTGTATGGAATTTATGCACTTTTTACTTGAGCACACCATATCATTATACTCAATCTTTGTTACTTGCCTTTGTTTTACTGTGTTTGGTTTCAAACCATTTTATGTTATTTCAAATCAAAATAAAAGGTTAAATAAGTTTTTTTTTAGTTCAGTTATTCATCTTGATGCTATACTAACTGTAAATGTTGCTATTGACTTCTACAGTATTCGAGTTTTTTCCATTGCTGCTGTCATCTGCACTGTTCTCGTGCTTCCTGTGAATTACTATGGTAAAGAAATAATTCATAAGAACATACCTTTGGAGTCACTGGAAGTTTTTACCATTGAGAATGTCAAAACAGGTTCAAGATTGTAAGTGAAATATCTTATTTTTCAATGTTAGTTGTAATTATGCGTTGAAAACTCAGAAAACAATCATGAAAATGATTACACAGTGAAACCTTTGTTAAAAACATGAAAGAAAAAAAATGATAAAACTGAAAGAAGAAAATATCCACCTTTTGCATGACTATCAGCCCTTATACCCCCTCAACACATAAATATAACTCTCGTTGTAGTAAACATTTCATATGTATGGTGAGTGACTCAATTGATCAAGACGTTAGCTGACCCCATCCCCTCACTTGAGTCTCTATCATTATATAATATTAATTTAATCAGAAAATCAATAGTTTGTACAAGCTGAGAAAGAATACTCCCTCCAGCCACTATTATAAGCAAAATTTCATTTTTCAAGTTCATTGCATAACCGATGTATTTGATAGTGACCAGAGGGAGTATAATATAAAGGTTTATCGAATATTCATATGCAGGAATGAACAATGCTCAGAAAAAATGTAGCTTTGACATGTCCTCTAATGGCCACCTTTCATTTTTTTCTCATTGACTTTTCCTTGTAGCTTAGTGAATTACGAGTTTCCTTTATTTGGAGTTTTTTATGCTATTTTTTCTCTCCAAAATTTTGATGAGTGAATTATAAAGAAGAAAATGTGAACATAGAGTTACTAAAGGCTTGAGTCATTCTGCTTAATTTATTTTTGTTCTGTTTCTAAAAGATTAGAAGTTGATAAAGTAATTATTCATGATTTCATTAAGGAATAAATCGCCAAACTCCAAATTGATTAATTATTTGTGGTTTATCTTCTTTTGTATGTCAGGCTTTGGGCTCATTGCCTTGCATTATACATCATTACACTTGCAGCTTGCACTCTTCTTTACTTTGTAAGGAGCTTTCTCTGCCTGTTTTAGCATAATGACCAACACTTGTTGTTTTCTTTTCCAATTCTTAAGTATGACTAACCAGTTGGTGTTTTGATTAGGAATACAAGAGCATTACTAAGCTGAAGCTACTTCATATTATTGGATCTCCTCCAAGACCAAGTCATTTTACTATTCTTGTCCGATCAATTCCCTGGTCTGCAGAAGAATCATATTGTGACACAGTGAACAAATTCTTCTCACATTACCACGCATCAACATATTTGTCTCACCAAATAATTTTTAAGTCTGGCAAAGTACAGAAATTGAAGGTGTGATTCTTACCTTTTTAAATATATATTTTGCTATTTTCAGCTCATCGTCATACTGTTTTTTATTTTTGTCAAAGTAACATGGTTTTAAATAATAAGAGAAGAGAACAATAAGGACTTAGAATATGACATTTATGTAATAACATCTAGATAGTTAAAATTGAAATAACATGGATCATAAGATCCTACAAATTTCAAAAAAATAGTGTATGTGTATGCGTGTGTGCGCGCGTCTGCGTGTCTGTATTAAACAATATAAATGTTTTTTTTTTGTGTAAATTCGGATATCCTTCATGTGCTGACGTTGAGACTAATCCGTCGGTCAAGGTAGGACCACAATGGACGACAAAGCTCTTCCTCAAGAGTCTACATTTCTATATAAATGTGTATAAAATAGCATCAATAAGAAAAAGACCATTTATATCAATACTATAAATTGTTTAAAGAGACAATCAGTACTACAAACACTTAATTAAATTTATATTCAAGACATTGGTTTCTAAATCTGTTCTTAAGTTTACTTTTTAAACTTGCATACAATGAGAATATGTTCTATTGAAGCCATCTCACCCCCTCTTCCCAGGTTTGGGCTTTGGTTATGATTCTTGAAGTTTGAGTATATATTTTCTCTCAATATTTAATGATATTTGAAGTATCTTTTTTTTTCATTAATATGAAATTGTATTTTACTTTTGTTGAGAGAATAGCTTTATATTTATTTATTTTATTTAAATCTTCTCTCCCTAGGACGAGGCTGAACATTTCTGCAAGGTAGTTAAAGACGCTTCGTCGGTTAATAGTTGTAAGACAAGTTTTGTGCCATGTTGCTGTTTTGGAAGTTCCACAGATTCGTTTAAGACGGATACTAATGAGATTGGAAGTATTCATGGGAGAACATGCTACACTGACATAGATACAAGGAAAAAGGTATCTGTTCTGTCTGAATTGGTTTATTTATACAATTGCAACAAATGTGAATTTTCCTTTTCATAATTTGGCATTGCACTACTGCATTTAGAACTTCAGTATGTGTTAAAGATCAGTTGATATTGCTGTATTGTATGAGAAGAAAAGAAAAAGATATACTCAACAAATTAAATTTTCTAAATATAAGCAATTACCGTGACTTTTTTTTTGGACAATGTGAGTGAATTACTGTGACTTTTAATTTATGATTTTTATTCATTTACTTGAATATATCACTTATTGCATTGTTGGGTCTGTACTCAATATTAACTAAAGAAAATTCTGTAATTAATTCCACATAGAAGTTTGATGAAGCCGCAAAAGTAATGTGACTGTCCCATAAATGTAAAATGTTGAAAAACAAGTTTCTGATGTATAAGATGGATGAACAAATAATCATTGTTGGAACTGCATTATTTTGGGTTTGTTGAGATTTGAAAATCATTCTTGGACCTTCACCTAATAATGGTTCATGCTTTGCTAATGAATTCATTATTTCATGGTATCAGTGCTTCTTTGATTCATTAGTGTAGAGTAAATCCCTATAAATTAATTGACAAAAAGCTAATATGGTCTAGTGAACTGTCTATATTTCATGTCCCAAAGGACTACTGTCTAAGGGGGGACTGATGAAAAAACCATTCATGTCTCCTACATAGCTTACGAAGTGGTACATTTCTACATTGTGATGAGCATCTAAACTTTTTTTTTGTTAGATAGTTTACTTTGCATTGATTTGTAACTCTTTTTAAAGCTTATTCTGGTTCTGAATTTATCTCAAATTTAATTTCGTCCTGCCCCTAGGACTTTAGGACATCCAACAACCCCATCAAATGCCTTCTACCCTTGGCTAAGGTTGACCATATTGATCAAAATATGCCATAGTATATTGTCATAAATCAGATCTAAGACAGTCCTCCAAATCTCTCAATGATTTGACCTAGAGTATTCTCAGTAGCACAAGCACCTCTGAAAAAAAGGTTTGTCCGTGTCAGTGTCGGTGTTGTTTTTCCGGTGTCCGTGCTTCATAGGTAGTATTCTTTGGTCTTCCTCTATCCCACTACTGTGCTATACTTCATTTCTACCTTCCATTTCAGTGGTTTTGCGGGCTGTCTCCCAATACCAAAAAACCACCTAAAAAGAGAGTACCATACTTTCCACAAAGGACAGTATCCCTACTCTTTTCCTAACCATTTCATTACTAAGGTTATTAGCCCTATCTTTGTTTTGTCTAACCACTTATCCATTATAGCATTTTTATTTTTGCAATGCCAAGCGTGCATTCTTGTTGGCTCTTCATTGTCCAACTTTCAGTCCTCACTTGGAAGGTCTTTTATTTATGTTTAATGTCTCTTTCTTGTGTATTAGCCATGTATATATGAACCAGCCCAGTCATTGTTGGATAGTATGTTTTGCACTAGCCATATATTTATTCTTGACAGAAGCCATTACTAATTTTATGTTGAGCTATCATTATTTATTATTTAATGAAAGTAGGTTATTAAATCCTTGTCATCTAGTAGTTATATGAAGTATGTAAATAATTTCAGATTATGTGATAACATTTTTTTATGTTCACTAATTTATGTCTTAAGTATGGATCTCTGATGCAGGAACTCCCAGCTGCTTTTGTGTTCTTTAAAAGTCGGTATGCTGCTCTTATGGCTTCACAGACTCTGCAAACGTCAAATCCTATGTTATGGGTGACAGACGTAGCTCCTGAGCCACATGATGTTCACTGGTCCAATATTCGGGTACAATATAGGCAAATTTGGATCCGCAAAATGGCTACATTTGCAGCCTCGATTGCCTTCATGCTTGTGTTCTTCTTCCCTGTTACATTTGTACAAGGCTTGACTCAACTAGATAAGCTTCAGAAAACGTTCCCTTTTCTGACAGGGATACTTTCAAAGTAAGACATTTCTGCATCTATGAGGAACAAATGTCATACTTTGGTTGAAGTCGTGTTTTTAAACCATATACATGGATCATTACCGGAAAAAGAATTATGCATGACATAAATCGTTTTTTATTTTAATATGCTGCATAGGCATATTAATATGAGTAATGTATGTAGAACTTTATGGGTAGTGGTAATGTTTTTTTTTTTTTTTTTTAATTCCTAAAGAAAATCGATTAGAAAAAAGCTTTGAACTAGTTCACTTTGTTAAACTTAAAAGTGTGGTTACTCACATGAGTGGTTAAATATTCCTACTTATTTAAAATTTGCCCGAAAATTTATCTTTGGCATTTTATTAAGCTATTATTCTCTTCTGCTGATTGTGTCTGTCTTCTATTCACATACTAGTGTTGAAGTTTCTCATTGTTATTATATGCTAGTTTATTGGTAGGAGTTTTGACTTTATAATCCCAATGGCAAGTTCAAATCTCTTTTTGTACAATTGTAATATGGTCATTAGCTTCACTTAATAAAAAAAGTTACTGATTTGCCATATAAGCAGAGTGCTAAAATTGTGTTTATACATCTCACTGTCTTCTTAAATAAGGGAATTACAGTCTTCTCCTGTGTGAATGGTGGTGTAATGATAGGGAGAAAAAATGTCCCTACTTCCTACAACCCTGTTTACACTAAAATAGAATGAAGGGAGAAGCATATTCATCTATATTCGGGGAGGAAATTATAATTTTCAAATTTAGATTAGAGGATGGTGTTATTTAAGCAATTTCTTAAAGGAAAAAAGTGTAATTTACTTCAGACATGGAACATGAAGTTTTAGATAGGTATTTTTAATTTTTGAATTGCTATAAATGTTCACTGTAAATTGATTCTTTCAATCGTTTATTTGCAGTAAATATGTGAATCGGCTGGTGACGGGTTACCTACCAAGTGTGATATTGGTTTTATTTTTTTGCGCAGTTCCACCGATGATGATTTTATTTTCAACAATTGAGGGTCCTATTTCCCGCAGTAGAAGGAAGAAAAGTGCATGTTGGAAAGTTTTGTACTTCACAATCTGGAATGTGTTTTTCGTTAATGTTTTCACTGGTTCTTTTATCAGTCAACTTTCAGTCTTTTCTAGCATAAAAGACTTGCCTGGACAACTTGCGAAGGCAGTGCCAGCTCAGGTGATTTATCGAGACTCCTAGGTGACACTGTGTACTTTAAATCACAACCTTCATTTCAGCCTATTTTGTTATGTTCTAGAGTATTATTGTATTTTCTTGTTGAAATGATTTTTTGTTCTAGAATATTGTTGTATTTTCTTGTTGAAATGATTTTGTATGCTTGAATGTATTTGAGATATGAGCAACACTCGACAATGAATACTCTTTTTAACTTTTAGAAAAGATATAAGTAAAGCTCTTCCGTGATTCGTGATTCACTAGGCTTTTTCATGGTATGCAGGCTACCTTCTTCACAACTTATATTTTGTCATCTGGTTGGGCAAGTTTGGGATTTGAACTTCTGCAAATTTGTCCTCTTTTATATAATCTATTCCAGAGATTCCTACTCAGGGTTAAGGATGATACACTTGTTGGCATAACTTTTCCATACCATACAGAAGTTCCAAGGCTATTACTATTTGGATTTCTTGGGTTTACCTGTTCTATTCTGGCACCTCTAATGCTCCCCTTCTTATTGATCTACTTTTTCCTTGCTTACCTAGTTTACCGAAACCAGGTTAGTCTTTTATCATGTGTTTGCCTTCTCCTTTCTTTGCTAAGGAATGCATTTTCTTGATTTTCCATTCTGATTAAATACTTCCTAATTGTAATTATATTAACCTTTTTCAGATTCTGAATGTGTATATTACAAAATACGATAGTGGGGGACAATACTGGCCTATTGCTCACAACACAACGGTCTTCTCTTTGTTAGTTGCTCAACTTATTGCACTCGGGGTGTTTGGAATAAAACGCTCCACAGTTGCATCTGGATTTACCATTCCCTTGATCATTGTCACCATTATTTTTCATCAGTATTGTAGGCATCGATTTCTTCCAGTATTTAGGAGCTGTTCAGCACAGGTAAATCTCTCTTTCTCACTGCTCCTTCTCCACTCCCTAGTCTAGTCTTTCATTCCCCGCTTTAAACTAAACTCAGTTTGTTTTAGATTCTTGTTGACATGGATAGGAAAGATGAAGATAGTGGAAAAATGGAAGAGATTTATGAACAATTACGTTCAGCCTACGTCCAACCCACTTTAGTGTCGCAAGCCCTAAGCCCATCCGAACCCATCAGCCCGCAAGACGACAAGCCATCTGAGATTTCAGAAGATATCGAGAAAGGTTTGTTTGTTTTAATATACACCCTCCGGTCACAATTATAAGCAAAAAAACGACCTTAAAACACTTGGTCACATTATACACAAAAGTCATTAATTTGTAAATTAATTATTGTTTGTATTACTAGTATACCCTTCATTTAATTTAAAAGCATTAATGTTGTAGGAGATTCATCAAATATAACTAAGATATTATAGTAAAATTTACTTTGATCGTACATGACATCAAGAAAGTTAATTCCATTTAACTAACTTTCTTAATCAATGTAAAAGTAGTAATTTTTGCTTATAATTGTGACCGGAGTAGTAATGGACAATGTTTCAGTTTTCAAACAATATTTATAACTCGGCTATGTTTGCTTTTCATTTTTCAGGCAAAACAGTTGGTCAACAACATAGACCAGGGCCTGTCCATCGTACTGTGAGTTCGAGCTCAGATAGATCAGTAATTAGTGGAGATGAAACGAGGGACCCGGCTTGTAAATTGAAAAAGAATATTCCTAATGTGCCCCATCCAGCGCTTGAACATTTAATTAATGATGGATTATGATGGTCTCTTAAATCATTTTGTCCATCAAAATATTTTTAAATGTAAATTGTAGATAGATTTTTCCAAAAAATATCTCCATTTAGATACAAATAGATATATAAAATTGAAGTAATTAAAACTTTTCCTAAATAAATGTTGTGCAGTTGCAACAATATTTAAAATTGAAAGATAAAGTGACTTTTGACAGGGCAATGTTCTCTTCGTTTCTCTCCATTTTTGTAGATCAAGTAAATAAAAGTTAATTCATAAGATAATATTTTGTGGGATAAGGTTTAGTTGTTGTTGAAGTGTATAAAGGATGTTTGGGTTTTTTAAAGTCATATTATCACTTAAACTATAGTAATGGAGAGGGCAAATGCAGGGACCTCCCCTTAAAAAGTTTTCAGGTAGGAGTTGCCGTTTGTTTAAATTAGTTTGTATGTTTATCAAAATGATATGCATCGAAAAAATTCTCTTTACTGGTGTATTGTGCTTTGATTATTTGTTTACTACATGTTTGCATTTTAATTTTATTTAATAAATAATAAGCGCTTTAGCTTCGTATATGTATTTTTGGAAATGTCTCCATTTGAACTAAAATGCATGGTTGTTTACTACAAAGCTACTGTTAGATGCTTCATGTTAACGTTTGCTCTATATTTTCTAACCATACCACACAACCGCACTTTGAGAATACTCAGCTGCTATAAACCAAACCGCTAAACTGTTTTCCAAACTAAACTGTTTTTTGAAAAGCAGATGAAAACTGTTCTTCAAGAACAGTTGAGATTCAAAGAACAAATGAGATACCGACTCTTCACTATGAGGCCCTCATACAAATTACAAAGATCATTGACCAATCACAACTCTTCTAAATCCTCTGAAACATTTCTACTATGAAATAATAATCTACATACTAACTATTTATTCTTGAATTCTAACTAATTTAATGAAATACGTTGGACTCAAATAAATATAAATCTAATGATAAAATGAACAAATTTTGCTTCTATAAATTATCCAATTTCTTAAACTAATCTCGCTTCGGATTTACTGCACCAGAACAATCCTATTAAGAGAGAAATATTTTTAAATAAGTTAAAGGCACACACAAACAACAATATCATTTTCTAGATGTTTAAATTGCGATACAAACAGATAAACATAAAATGATTCTCAAAATTTGCTCTATTAAGTGTTTTTCATTCACTTGAATAAGCAAGGAGTAAATACAACCAGTTCATACGAACAAGATGATTGAAAAATGTTAGTTGATGCTATAGGAATCCATATCACCTCACTAGTTTCATTTTTGAAGAAAATTGAAGTTTATGCTCTACAAAAATTTAGAACTAAACTTTCCGTCTTTCCATTTATGCCTCCAAAGCATTCCTCATTTCTCGTACGTTTTTCGCATCTTCCATAAAATTTCTCCAATACCAAAGTAGCTGCATCAGGCCACCATTTGCAACATGCAAAAGAAACACGCCCCATTGTATTGAGAACCATGTCGACGTTAACTTGACCAACACAAAAAGACTACACAATCCCAACCGACGCCATTTCAAATCAATCTCCTGTCAAGTGGAAACCCGTGAACAAATATAATATATACCCCAAACAAGATCATTAATAGAGTGTAATAAACAAACAAACCGTTGAACAATAACATATGCAAAATATACCTCCAATTGATGAAACAATTCCAGAGATATCTCCTTTAAGAAATCAGCCATAAGGCAGCCAACAAAGAGACCAACGGGAATGATTAGTTCCCGATTTATATAGAATGTATACGCAACATCAGATAAGGAGCTAATGATGAAATATGCAATAAGTGACCACTTTAACGCCTCTTGCACAAGAAGTGGTAGTCTGTCGAGAAGTGTATGTTGAGCTTTTCTCCAAGGAAATTCTTGAACTGGACTTGGCAATACTTCTTTTAATTTCTCCTTCACAATCCCGATCTGCATCTTGACCTCATTAGGCTCATTATTGTCAGCCACCAATGCTTTAACTGAAGTGGTGCGAGTATATAAAGCTTGATGAGGAAGGTAAGTTTTTGAACTTCTAGAGAAACAACTGGGTTGGCACCGAAACCGGTGAACCTGGACAAAAGAATGAAATGAGTGCTATAACTGAAGCAAACATTTTGAATAATGCTTATATCATTTTTTAGATTAACTTTGCTAACCACTCCTCAAAAAAATACTATACACTTGCATTCCTATCTAGTCACAGTAAAATTAATATAAAAGACAAATCATCCTAATGTAAGATACTTACAACTTAATATTTTAAGGATCATTTTAATTAATGGAAATAAGGGGAAAAACACATAAGAAAAGGAAAGAAAAAGCTGAATGCAATACATAAAAAAGAAAACAATAATGATTTTGGATTTAGAAAGACTTAGAGATACATATGAACATAAACCAAAGACAATGAAACCTAAAAGATTGTGTCTTTATTTTTCTCTTTAAAAAAATGTTTTGGGTTTAATGAAGTAGAACAAGCATACCCGAAATTTGAGAATTGTTGAAGGAATTGTTAGGGAAGACATCGCTTCTTTCATCAGCAGCAAAGCATGCGATGTCATGTTTTTCATTTTTGTATCCCAAAAGTAAATCTTGTGCTCTCCTTTGCTAGGATAGCCACCAACAACTCACTCACCACTGAAACAATGTGCTTTCTTGTGCATCTTCATGATTGAGTATTGAAACTCTCGGAATAAAATTAAACATTTTGATCCTACGGCCTTCAACTTCTCAATGTCATTTAAATTACTTTGTTTCTCATTCAATTTTTCAAGTTCTCTAACTGTCTTTCAATGAGAAGAGATTTTCATAGTTTCATATAATTCAATAATTTAAGTCCGCGAGAAAGATAACGTAATGTCCATTCCTGCTAAATACGATGATTTCACTACATAACCAACCAACAGAGATAGGAACCATGGCACCTACCTCATCATCTTTATGCTCAATTAAAATAATTTTCTCTTGAGTTTCCCACATAACCAGATTTCCATATTTATTAAAACATGCAGCAAACCAGATTACCGCACTTACTAATACATGCAGCAGTAGGCGTGAAGGAGGTAATCCTTGTATCTTTGGCTGTCAAGTTGTTGTAATTGTGGGATGTTATGAGTGGTAAAAGGATAGCTAGAATAGTTTTGCAACTAACTTCTCTATAGGCTCGTCTTTATCCAAGTTCCTCAAAATCATCTCAATGTTCAGTTAGAGTTACCTCTTAACACCTTGGTAAGGATGTCAACCTGATTTATGTAGGTAACTCATCAAGGAAAATTCTTGTAACGGACTGTAAAGATGTTTGTGGTGTTGTAGTGAAGAACATTGAACTCAGGAATGGACAATATCTTCTAACGAATTTAAAAACTTTCGAATAATCAAAATCTATGCAAATTTCCCCCTTAAAAGAAATGGTTAGAGCACTTGATGAACTGAATGAGAACCAAAGTGACCTAAATGACATTGAAAAGTTGAAAGTTGTAGGATCAAAATGTTTAACTTTATTCTGAGAGTTTCAATTTTCAATCGCAAAAGTGCACTGTATGGAATGTGTATCTTCAGTTGCTATATATGTTGTGCGTCTGCCCATTTAAGAGTTCATTGAAGAAAACCAATCATCATAATGTTCTTTCAAAAGTAAGTTTGAATGTATTTCTACTCATTCATTTCTCAGAGCGCGCTCTAATTGAAGCAACCAGTTAGCACTCTTAATGTTCTTTCAAAACCGAGTTTGACACTTTCAATGAAATCAACACTATAAGGTAAACAAGTTTAATTTTCTTTGCTCTTTTTCATTTGAATACTTATTCTAACTAGAATTTCTACAATTTTACGAATCTCTGAACTCCTGAGGATTTTTTTAGATTAATTTTGCTAACTAGTTCTACAAACACAGTTCCACTTGCATTTTCGATCTAATCATTAATATTCTTTTTAAACAATTAATCATATAATGCAATGAGTTTACAACTTATAACCTTAAGGATACTGTAATTGAAATAATGACAAAAGAAAACAGAGAAAAAATAAGATATGAATTTTAACAACACAATATAATATATATATATATATATATATATATATATATATATATATATATATATATATATATATATATATATATATATATATATATATATATATATATATATATATATATATATATATATATATATATATATATATATATATATATATATATATATATATATATATATATATATATATATATATATATATATATATATATATATATATATATATATATATATATATATATATATATATATATATATATATATATATATATATATATATATATATATATATATATATATATAGGGTTTAGATAGAGAATTGAAAGATAAACACAATCCATGAACAAAGCATAGGAAGGAACAAGCATACCTGAAACTTGAGAGTTGTCAAAGGAAATGTGATGAGAGAAGAATGAGTAGACATAGTTTCCTCCGCGGCTGGCGCTGCAATAAATCAAATACCCGCTTTATGGGGAGGGTTTTTGTAGATAGGATATGGGTCGGACCCAATTTAATGGTCGGATACAGTGATTAAATTTTTTAGAAATTCGAAAATGCCCTTTTACATATGAAAATTGAAATTCAGATGTAGAACAATACAAAAAAATCAACAAATATTTTTATAAACGCACTTCATCCAAGTAAAAAGATATATTAAGATTTAAATATTCGGATATATTATATTAGAATTTAAATTTCAATCTTTAGACACACTTCATCCCATACAAATTTACTTATATTACTTGTGTGTATGTGATAACAAAGGGCTAATTCGGATTCCAATTTATGATGTGGTCTATATAACAATTATGATCATCTTCCATTTGAGGTATCATGCAGATACAATTACGGTATCACAACTACAACATGTTCGAATATACCAGCTTCATGAGATTTGAAAAGTTACTTGAGTCTCAAATTCAACCACTAAGTCATACTTTAATTTCATGCAAAAGTTCCAACTGACATTAAAGAGTTTATTTTAGCAACAAGATCATTAAAGACATTAAATAAAATTTAAATAAAAAAGGAATTCTCACATATGTTTTGTACGGGTTATAAATATTTTAAAACTACAATGGATCATTGCAAGTTTTTGATACATAAGTCAAGACCTACAATCCATCATCCAAATATCACCTTCAAGGGTCGTTTTTAACAATACTTATTGTACAAAATGAAACAAACGTCATTAACATGATGCGGTTTGATGCAGTTCGGAACGGCTTGACCATATGAGAGGGAAAATATAGCAAACACGTGAGAATTCTTCAAAGTAGTCTCCAATATATTCCAACCCAAAGAGACGTAGAAAATATTGGTGGATCTATGCCTGAAAATGGTTTAGATGAAGGGTGTAACACATGTATTATGAAATTAATCAATGAGGATGAAATTAATATTAGTAACCACCTTTAGCTAACTTGGATTAGAGAAACACCAAATAAGGTGTTCCCAATTGTACTCGTGAATTCTCTATAAGTCAATAAAATATTTAATGTAGACAATGTCGACCTAAAATAATTGTGTCAACCAAAACCATGAAATATGTTATCAATGCACATACTATGATATGCAATTTGTGCGTCATCACCCACAACACCACAACTGCATTCAAGTGGTCAACATAATTTTTCTTGAAAAAATATAGTATGACATCCTCTAGTGTCATCTATTTTCTGTTGGACAATATCAACTTCTAAATATGTAACCATCAAATTCAATGGCCCAGATATACTGATTATAGAGTGATCTAATAACCTTCTTGTGATCTAAAGATGTAAGAGGCATGATACATCATCAAATGTCATGGTCATATCACCGATTAAAATATGAAATGATGATATCTCTACGTGTTATTTCTCAACAAAAATAAATCATGGTTAGTATAACCATATTCAATCTTATATAAATCTTTCATCCCAGATTGAAAACAGTGGATTAGAACTTGACAAATATGTTAATCTTTAATGTGGTGGAGTAGAAATTATGAGAAAAATTAAAAAAGGTTAGTGCATAAGCAGGCAACGGTAAACTATGGTTTCATTATCTGTAAATGTTAGCGTCTGAATTTTTCAATCATCTTTGTAAATTATATTTGGAGATTGAAATTCGAACTAACTCTTTAACGTGTCTTTAACGTGTTTTAAATTCTAAATTTGGATTTTGGTATAATATGCTAAAACACGTCTAGATTTAAATATCCAGAAGTCTTTTATCTGAATTTCAACATCTAATTTATTTTAACTTAAATTTGACATGCTTTAAAGAATTTTTTTTATGTACTTAATGTATTTAGAAATTAAATCCGAATTTTAAAGATATTTTTAAAATTTTTGTCGGTGTATACGAGTAACAGATGATGAAATGTAATGAAATACTTGTATAAAAAACTAATAAAGCCTTGGGCTGAGTTAGGCCCGGTTACGTGGAACTTTTCTATTCCCACCCCACTACCACGTCACAGAGGAAAAAAAACTCTTTCTTTGGCCATGGCGAATTTGATTGACGGGTATCTCATGCAGAGTAAAAAGAAAAGCAAATTCAACGATTATTCAAAAGAAGAAAGCAGAGAAACGTCTTGTATTTTGGTGTAAAACACTGTGTGAGATATTGGATCGAACTCTAGTATAGTCGAAGTCTGTTCGCGAGTAATGCGTGTTGTAGTCGAAGTTTGTTCTAACATGCATTAGTCAATATTGCTAGGGTTGTTAGCATGTTGAATTGGGCCTTGCTTGTAAGCCCAATTGTTTAAGTTAGCTTGTACCCTAAGTTAGCTTGTAATGGGTAATTGTTAAAAAGCCCATTAGGTTAGTGTGCTATTTTTTCTTATACATAGGATGCTAGTTTCTCAATCTTGGCATAAGAAAATATAGGAAAATAAAATCCTAATTTCAAGGGAGAGAGGTTATTTTGTTATTCTTGTATACTTGTAATCTTGTTCTAAGAGAAAGGAAAGAATAACAGTTTAATAACCAATCCTTGTTGTTCCTTGTTGTTTTCTTCTTTATTAACCCTAACCCTTGTGTGTTTCTTGATAAGAAACCGTTTATACTTTGTTTAACGGTATGCGATTCACAACAAATTGGTGCGGTGAGCGTGGAGAAGATGCCTTCAACAAAGTATGTGATTGAAAAGTTCACCGGAGTGAACGGCTTCAGTCTGTGGCGCTTGAAGATGAAAGCCCTATTGGTTCAGCAGGGTTGTTTGGAAGCGTTGAAGGGTGAGGCAGCCATGGACGTTGCGTTAACGGCAAAAGAAAAGACGGGCATGATCGAGAAAGCCCACAGCGCAATGTTGTTGAGCCTTGGTGATAAGGTTCTTCGACAAGTATCAAAGGAGACTACAGCATCGGGATTATGGGTGAAACTTGAAAGTTTGTACATGACCAAATCTCTGGTGAATCGACTATACCTGAAGCAAGTTTTATATTCATTCAAGATGAGTGAAGACAAAGTGTTGGCTGAGCAGTTGGATATGTTCAACAAGCTAATTCTTGATCTTGAAAATATTGATGTGAAGATCGATGATGAAGATCAAGCACTGTTGCTGCTGTGTGCTTTGCCCAGAACACATGCTCACTTCAAAGAAACTCTCTTGTATGGAAGGGAGTCCCTGACCTTTGAAGAAGTTCAATCAGCCTTGTATTCTAAGGACTTGAACGAACGAAAGAAGCATAAACCTTCGACGGTGGGCGAAGGTTTGGCCGTTAAGGGAAAATTCTTGCGAAAGGATGGTAAGTTCGACAAGAAGAAAGGTAAAAGTCAACAGAAATCTTATAGTGGCAAAACATCTAGTATTCGATGTTATCACTGTAAGAAGGAGGGTCACATAAGAAAGGTGTGCCCTGAACGCCTGAAAGATCATGGAGGTAATGGCAATGCAGCCATTGTTCAAGATGACTTCGACGCATCTGATGTTCTTGTGGTTTCAAGTGGCGACTCAAGGAAAGAGTGGATTATGGATTCAGGTTGCATTTGGCACATGACTCCAAACAGAGAATTGTTCGAGGAGCTATGTGATCAAGATGGTGGATCTGTGCTGCTAGGAAACAACAAATCTTGCAAAATTGCAGGTATTGGATATGTGAGATTCAAACTCCATGATGAGTCAATAAGGTTATTGACTGAAGTCAGGTACGTACCTGACTTGAAGAGAAATTTGATTTCTCTTGGTGAATTTGACAGAAAAGGATATGTTTTTCAAGGAGAGAAAAATATCCTAAGAGTCATGAAGGGGTCAAAGGAAGTCTTGAGAGGCGTGAAGAAATAAGGTCTGTATACCCTTGAGGCCGAGGTTGTAAGTGGTTCGACAAATGTTGCATCCACGAAATCTATGTCGAAGACAAAATTATGGCACATGAGATTGGGCCATGTCAGCGAAAGAGGTCTGGTCGAATTGGGGAAGCAGAACCTGCTAGGAGGTGACAAAGTCGAAAAGTTGGAATTTTGTGAATCTTGTGTATTTGGTAAATCCTGTAGGGCGAAGTTTAACAAAGGCAAGCAAAGAACACATGGATCCCTGGATTACATTCATGCTGATCTTTGGGGGCCTGCAAGAAATCCTTCACACTCAGGTGCAAGGTATTTTCTAGCCATCGTTAATGACTATTCCAGAAAGCTATGGGTATTCATTCAGAAGACGAAGGATGAAACTTTTGAGAATTTCAAAAGTTGGAAGATTCTAGTCGAAACTCAGACTGGTGGAAAGGTTAAGAGGTTGAGAACCGACAATGGCCTTGAAATCTGCAACGAAGCTTTTGACAGTTACTGTGTTGGGTCTGGGATTGCAAGGCATAAGACTGTAACAGGTACTCCTCAACAAAATGGCTTAGCTGAGAGATTCAATCGAACAATCCTTGAAAGGGTTAGATGCATGTTGGTTAATGCTGGATTGAAGAATGTGTTTTGGGCGGAAGCTGTTTCGACAGCAGCTTACCTGATAAATAGATGTCCCTCGACTGCCTTGGGAATGAAGACACCTGAAGAAGTTTGGTCGGGACATCCACCTAGTCTCGACAGACTGGGAGTATTTGGCTGTGTGGCCTATGCTCATATTAGGCAAGACAAGGTCGAACCTAGAGCTCTGAAGTGCATGTTCATGGGATACCCTGAAGGAGTCAAAGCTTATAGGCTATGGTGCCTAGAGCCAGGTCACAAAAGGTGTATCACCAGTCGAGATGTAGTTTTCAATGAAGGAGAGATGACTTTCAAGAAAACTGATGATGCTGACGAAGAGCTGGAACATGGAGAGATTCCTGTTGAGGTGAAGCATGTTGATGTTGAATTGCTTACCCCAGATGAAGTCGAAGAAGATGCAGAAGATATTGTCGAAGATGAGGAGATTGATAATGACTACCTGCTAGCAAGAGACAGATCGAGGAGAGTCATCAAGCCACCTCAGAGACTTGGGTATGCAGATCTTATAACTTATGCCTTAATCTCTGCTAGTGAGGTTCTAGATGAAGAACCTAGAGACTATAAGGAAGTTATGAGGAGTCGAAAGAAGACTGAATGGCTGAAGGCCATGGATGATGAGATGAAATCTCTTCATGATAACAACACCTGGGAACTGATCAAGAAACCTGCTGGAGCCAGGTTAGTCAGTTGTAAATGGATTTTCAAAGTTAAGGAAGGAATCGAAGGAGTAACGTCGAAGAGATACAAGGCAAGATTGGTTGCTAGGGGGTTCACTCATAAAGAATGTATTGACTTCAATGATGTGTTCTCTCCTGTTGTGAAGCACAAATCCATTCGAATGTTGCTTGCCATGGTGGCCCAGTTCGACCTTGAACTGGAACAGATGGATGTGAAGACTGCGTTCTTGTATGGTAATCTAAATGAAACAATCCTGATGAGGCAACCTGAAGGGTATGTCGAAAGGGGGAAGGAAGATTATGTGTGCAAACTGAATAAATCTTTATATAGACTGAAACAATCTCCTCGACAGTGGAATAAGAGATTCGACAAGTTCATGGCACACATAAGTTTCATCAGAAGGCAGTTCGACCACTGTGTTTACTTCATATTTCGACTGGGTAATTCATTTGTTATTTTGTTGCTCTATGTGGATGATATTCTAATAGCAAGCAACAATGTCGAAGTGGTAACAAGGGTGAAGGCTAAACTCAATAAAGAGTTCGAAATGAAGGATCTGGGAGCTGCGTCCAGGATTCTTGGGATTGACATCCGGAGAGATAGAAAACATTCGAAATTATGCTTATCTCAAGAGGCATACCTACAGAAGGTTTTCGAAAAGTTTGGTATGTCGAATTTAAAGCCTGTTGTGACTCCGACAAACCCTCAATTCAAGCTGAGTATAGATCAGTGTCCCAGCACTGATGTTGAAAGAACTTATATGAATAGCATTCCATATGCTAACATAGTAGGTTCTTTGATGTATGTTATGGTATGTATTAGACCCGACATAACATATGCAGTAAGTCTTGTAAGCAGGTACATGGCGAATCCTGGAAAAGCTCATTGGCAAGCATTGAAGTGGATTTTAAGGTACATAAATGGGTCTCTGAATAGAGTCCTAATTTATGGTGGAGCCTTGGGTGAAGATAGTAAAGCAGCAATCGATGGATATGTCGACTCTGATTATGCAGGTTGTATGGATTCCAGAAAATCTATCTCTGGATATGTGTTCACTATGTTTGGGACAGCAATCAGTTGGAAAGCAACACTTCAGAAGGTCGTTGCCCTATCAACCACTGAAGCAAAGTATATTGCCTTAACTGAAGCTGTGAAGGAAGCATCGTGGCTTGAAGGTTTTGCAAAGGAGCTAAAACTTCAAGGTCGAGTTATCACTGTTAAATGTGATAGTCAAAGTGCAATACACATTTCGAAGAATTCAGCCTATCATGAGCGAACCAAGCACATTGATGTGAGACTGCATTTCATCAGAGGGGTAATCGAGCGTGAAGAAGTCCAAGTGCTGAAGGTTTCGACAGATCATAATGCTGCTGATATGATCACCAAGACGTTGCCCAGTTGCAAGTTTTTCCACTGTATGCAGTTAATAAAGCTGCATGAAGAAAGCTAGTTTCTTGATGTTATAGAGTTAGATCCAAGGTGGAGATTTGTGAGATATTGGATCGAACTCTAGTATAGTCGAAGTCTGTTCGCGAGTAATGCGTGTTGTAGTCGAAGTTTGTTCTAACATGCATTAGTCAATATTGCTAGGGTTGTTAGCATGTTGAATTGGGTTTTGCTTGTAAGCCCAATTGTTTAAGTAGTTTGTACCCTAAGTTAGCTTATAATGGGTAATTATTAAAAAGTTCATTAGGTTAGTATGCTATTTTTTCTTATAAATAGGATGCTAGTTTCTCAATCTTGGCATAAGGAAATATAGGAAAATAAAATCCTAATTTCAAGAGAGAGATTATTTTGTTATTTAAAGGAGGAAGGAAAGAATAGCAGTTTAATAATTAATCTTCTTTATTAACCCTAACTCTGGTGTTTTCCGTGTTTGAATTCTGGAATAATTCTTTACTGGAATTATCATTGAAAGTGTTTTCTTTTTCTTCTAAATGAAGGAAGATGAAGGTGATGATAACAAAATCAACGATGATAAATTTGTTCAAGATATCAAACTTTGGGGAGTTTTCCTCTTCGGATTAATCGGCGCTACCGCCACCACCTTCGCCGTGAGTTCTACGCCTTCACTATTCAATTTTATTCCTAATCATTTTCCTACTTTTTGTTTCTGTTTTATATTTCATCAAATTGATTTTAATTTCATCACTATCAACATCAAATCATCATCATCAACGATGTTTTTATTGATTATTTTTGTGTTGTTCACGAAAATCGTTTCATTTTCAATAGCAGAAATGGCGCATGAATATATAATTACATATCTATGTATGTATTTATATAATCTCATATTCTGTGAGTTTCGGGTTTTTGGTTGGTTTAGCTTTTGGAAGAGTCAAAAGCAATTCTTAGAATTCATTTTGAAATGATTTTGAGGTGTTTGGTTCTAAGGTAGAATTGATTTTGCCTCAAAAATTGATTATACTTGAAGTTAAAATTTGTAGCTTTTGATTTTGCTTAAAGTTATCCAAACATAAATCACTTTAAGTTAAAATTGATTTTGCTTAAAGTTATCCAAACATAAATAGCTTTAAGTTAAAATTGATTTTGCTTAAAGTTATCCAAACATAAATCACTTTACATTCAACTCACTTTAAACCATAATCAATTATACTGAATCAAGTCACTCAAAATAAAAAAATTTCACCGCAGAACCAAATATATATGCCAATCTTATTTTCTGTGAATTTCAGGTTTTTGTTTGGTATGGAAAATTTAAGTTTTTTTTTAAGAGATGTAAAATGGAATGAAACTAAGCATGATTGCTATTATTGAACTCTTTGTAGCTGTCCAGGTCTTTGAAAGGAGGGAATGTCGGTTCTTTTCGAACGACTTTTCAAGAAGAAGCATGGAAGAGGTACAATAAAGGAGGGAATGTCGGTTCTTTTCGAACGACTTTTCAAGAAGAAGCATGGAAGAGGTACAATAAGCGACTGCAAGAGGTGTACGAGGTGTACGAGGAAGAGATGGAGAGAGTGGTGAGTTTTTTTTAATCAATTACTCATCTCTATACTGATTTTATTGTTATTGTGGTGGTTGCAAGTTTTGTTGTTCTATGGAAATAGTTGTTATCTTTTAAAAGAGTTTAAGATTGAAGATGTGCTGTGATCTTTCAAAATGGGAAACCTTTTCTGATGAAGCAAGATTTTCTACAATCTGTATTAGTTGATTGTGCTATTCTGCAAAGAAGTTGGTACTTTTTTGTTGCTCAGATGTTTGATTGGTCGGTTTATGCTAGGCATTTTTTGTCTTGAGCCTTATGATAATCACATATGATAAATCAATTAGGATAACTCATTTATGAATATGATATAATAAGTCACAAATGATAGTCCCTTATGAATATGATATTCACTTGTGAAAGAGTCGCTTAAGATTATGGTGGTAATCACTTGTGATAAAGTCATTTAGGTAATGTTTCTATCTTCTCTTTGTAGGAAAGAATAAGGCGTATGCAAGATGTGTTTAATAGAGAAAGGAATAAGTATAGACGAAATCCCGAGAACTGGAAGGAAAATGGTTCTGGTACATATCATCAGAATTTCCAAAGAGATGATCGGTATAGGAAGGCTGAGCAAACCTTCAGAGACCAGTGGAAAAATTACCCAAGGGAAAATGGAAGCATAAATTATTCATTATTATCACACCACTACTCAGTTTTGGGTCTCGACAGGTACTCACAGAAATCTAGTGTTTTAGTATATAGTAGCATCTTGCATCGGCTGAAATTATATCAGAATGCTGTAATACCCTTAAGTATATTCAACAGTTTCAACTATTTTTTGAAATTCAAAAAGATTTAATTTTGATCCTATAAGGAATTTTACATATTCAGCAGACCATGCTTTTGCACTTGTTTAAAATTATGTTTAAAGATTCTATACACGTAAAACCTTAGTTGCTACAATGATCTGGGATTGTTGTTTGCTGGTAGTTTGTCAAAATTAAAATCTTCATTATGTTTTGTTTTAGTCATTTAGGAATAATTCTTAAGGTGAAATCTTCGGGCCACTCATTTTGGGTCTAACTCAACGTCATGAAGTTGGCTTGTAGGAGGAGAGATGCTTCCACTTTATAAGTATATATTCATACCATATCTCATCCCATTCAGGACTCTCGACAAATATGATTTGATAGAAATTGTTCTTGTGTAGTTATAAACTTGAGACCACAAGATAGCATGGTTCATATATATTATGTTGTGAATTAGAAAATGTTCGATAACGATAGTTTTTCTTAGTGGATATATTATATGGTACATCTGGAGGGTCAGCAATAACATATCTTAATTTGAAGCAGTACACAACTATGATCTCCCTGTAAGAACATACGGGATTTTGGTATCTGTTCATAGCTGATAGACCATTATGTATGAATGGAAACCCCTTGCTCTAATCATATACCATCTGCATCAAAAGTTAGCAATAGCATGCTTGTTTGCGTTCATGATTATCAAATAAAGATTCCTTTTTTGTTATGGATCTCAGGTCTAGAACGACACCATATACAGATGCTGAAATTAAGGTAATTTCTCTTTTTATCAAAGATATTATTTGAATGCTTGCTTTGTGACTATGATGAGTCTCCTGTCTATTTCTCTTATTATTCTCTGGTTTGTATCATATGGCTACCATTGACACTTTCCATTGATGTTATTTGACAGAGTAGGGTTAGCACCATTATTTCTTCTTAAATAGAAAACTAGTTTTGTAACTTGGGCACCAGTGAAATCACGTGAAAAATATTGTCTTTGTGATTTATGCTCTAAAAAAATTATAAGACTGCCACAATATGTTTGTACATTTTACAAACTATCCTGATTGGCCTCTGGCAAAATCCTACGGTGTAGTGCCAAGTTACCTGCGGAATGCTCTAGAGTATAAAGAAGTTCATATCATATATTTTCAGACTATATGAATCTGTTTGGTTGCGAGAAGTGTGGCATTTTTCTTTGCTTCTTCGCAACCCAACTCAATGAAGAAATGTAAATATGTGGGACCCAACGGTGTTTTTTTGCTCTTCTCAATTCTTTGATAACTAAGTAGAAGTTTCCCATTTTACTTTACTGTTAATAAACAAGTAGGGGGCTTTCCTATTTCTCTTCTCTTAATCTCTTGCCTTACTCTCTCTTGACCATTTTTATGAAATCAATCAAAGCGTACATGGTACTAATGATGATGGCGCAATAAATAGTCCATAAGTTCAGAAGTTTTGTGAATGACTTTTTAATGAGAAATACTAATAATACATTCTCTAACATACTAGCGAGACTTGTATGAATTTCATTCAATAATAGAGAACAATGCTAGCATTGTTATTTTTATCTAATAATAGATTTACAGCCAGTTTCATTCAATAATAGAGAACAATGCTAGCATTGGTGTTTTTTTTTTTGACAGAATGCTAGCATTGTTATATTTACATAATAATAGATTTACAACCAGTGTTGCCATCGATGGCTGAGAGCCAAAATCCCGCCAGGCGGCGCCGTTATGGCGGAAAAACCCACAATGTCGGCTGATATTTACCATTGCGGTAAGCCCAAAAACCACCATGTATATCCGCCATAGCGACCATGGCGCTGCTATTTGATAAACATATTTACAACAATGAGCTATATTAAATTTATACCTTTTTAACTTAGTTTTAGGAATATTTACTATGCATAACTATTTCTCATTTCGTTATCTATGTATTGCTTTGATCTTTGTTAGGTCTTTCATTTACAACATTTTATTCTCATCTCTTCCACAGACAGCGTTTAGGACCAAGGCAAAGCAGTTTCATCCTGACCAGAACCAAGAGGATAGAGGTAGGTCTTGTCTAGATATCATTAAGATCTTGTTATCTTAATCTGTGTCATTATTACTTAAAGATTCATGGATGTGATAATGTGACAGTGGCTGCTGAGGCTAAGTTCAAAGAGGTTATGGGTTCATATGAGGCCATACAACAAGAAAGAAAGAATCATAGTCTGTAATTGCAACCCTGCCTGATAATCATGGTAACTTGAAGGATGCAAGATATTTAAAATGTCTAACGTTGACCCTGATCTGGTGAGTCTTTGGAGTTCTGTAGTTCAGTTCTGGTATGCCGTAATCCAAGGGAACCCTTAATTTTGGCAATTATTACATTATAGTGGTGTTGTATTACAATGAGGTTAGTCGCTGGTCGCTGGTCGCCGGTCGCAATGCTGTAAACCAATGTGGCTGTGATCTACGATTTTGCTAAATTAAAGAAAAATCATAATATAGTAAAGGTAAGTCGCCGGTCACAGTTACAATTTACATCACTAATAAAATTCAAGGTTTGAAAACACACTCGTTTGGTAATTTATTAGTTTTTGTACTAGTTAGGAAAGTTGCCTGTGCTGGTGAGAATATAGCACAATGAGGAAATCCATTTTTGTAAGGAATTCAATTGAGCATGAGTTATGTCGTAATTATTATTACTGAGTACAATCTTAATGTATGTAGGATTGCTTCTTTTTTTTCCATTGGGTTTAAAATTACATGACAACTCCAATATGTCTTTGTCTTAATGATGTTAATATACATATTTGTTATTGTCTGTAATTAAATCAAATTGATTATGATATGGCTCTGGTTGAGAAAAGAGTAGAGTTTTGCAGGTGTCAAATGTTAAATGAGTTTTGATCACAATCTCAAAAATTAACTCCTAATATTAGGGTGTCAGATGATGATACCCAATCACATATGTAGATTGCTGAACTCTGTTGCAACTTCAATTTAGTATTTACAATGCAAATTAAAAAATGTCACATTTCTCCAATAAATAAATTTCGCTGCCATCAATTAAACTAGCATGCACAAATGTAGGTTTGAGATTTAATTAAATCAAGTTTTTTTTTGGGCACAAATTAATTAGATCAAGTTAATATAAAATTAATTGACATTGATCACGAGTTTGGAGAACAAATTCAATGGAATATTCAGATGTGCTATAAATAGACTGTGCTAAGAAAAAGATGCAAAGCAAACGAAGGAACTAAAGCAAGTAAAGGAAAATTTTAGCGTTTCTAAGTTAAAATCATTGTCACCATAGTTTGTTGTCTAAAAAAAATGAACAAAGTGTTTTTGTATGTTTTCTTTATCTTCTGGAAATGTGGTGGTTTACATTTGAAGGAGTATTATAGTAACCATTCCATATTTTGTAATTGGAAAAAATCATTGTACTCGAGCTCATATTTATTTGAACACTAATGTTAGCACTCGTATTCGTCCCTTTGTAAATATCTATAAATGTATCTCTTACGTGCATTACTAATAAAAGTTGTACTTTAAAAAAAAGTACACGAGTGCGTGGTGCCCCTAAACTAGTAAGGATGGCTAGAGGTCTTAGTAGTTTTTAAATGGTTAGGGTTTGCCGGCGGCAGCGAGATATCCTATTTGATGATATTTATGGTGGTGAGAGATAGGGGTGTTCATTGGTTCGAACAAATTTGATCCAAATTGGAATCAAATCAAACCAATGAAACTCGATGTTGATTGATTCAGACAACAAATTTTCAAAATTTTACCCGCAAGTCCATCTATCTGAACCAATCGTAATTAATTCATATAATATATATCATCATTCATTATCATGTAAACTAGTATAAGGTATTCAACTTCAAGAAGAAAAGATGAAACGCCATTTGTGATATTCACAGTCTATATGGAGAAATAAAAATTATGGATTTTATATTATTTTGAAAAATTAGTTGATGTAAGTTACATTTTTTAAAAAATATTTTTCAACATTTGTTTCTAATATATCCAATTAATCCAACCTAAACCAACATGTTGTTTCTCAATTTGGTTCAATTTGAGCTTTATTACAAAAATGTGAAAATTCAATCCAAACCAATCCATATATTTTGATTGGTTCGAGAATCAGATTCTCTCAAAATAGGATCAATCCTGCCTGCGAACACCCTTAGTGAGAGAGGGTTAGCTGCGTTATGTGGTATAAGTTATGATTTGTCCTCCTCAACTCTAAAGTTAGGGTACTTATAGAGGCACTCTTAGGTCTAGGGTTTCCTTGAGAATCATAATTGTCCACTCAATCAAAGATAGATCATTGAATTTATATTTCCTATAAAAAATGGGGGTTAGACTGTTGGCCTTGACTTCTCTTTGACTGAGGGACGTCTTTTTCCACGTTTTTCACGATTGGGCAAGTAGAGGGCACTCAGGAAGGGATGGTCCCTAATGGCGGGCGAAAAATAGGAGTCATCATTTAAGGGCAATTGACACTCTCTAGTCCTTAATGAGTCTCTTACAAATATATCACTACATATCCTCTCAAACATGAGGGATTTAATAGAGGGCAAAATGCTTTAAACAACAAAACATCGTGTGAGTCTGTCAGAGGGGGGAATAAGTCCCTCAAGTGGAACTTTGAGCCCCTTAGATGGGTCTTTAAGTTAGTTCTCGCTCGTGGAAACTCTAAGTTACTTAGGTGGGACGCTTAAATAAGCATATTTGATGGGACTCTCAACTCTCGAGAGAGATTATGAGTTGAGCCTTGGGTAATGAGACTTCCAAGTTTCTTAGGTGAGGCGATGATGCCTCTAGGGCGGGACATATATCAAGCCCTTAGACAAGACTTTACTTAAAGTCTCTTGCACCATACTTTAGTCGCACCCCTTTTGATAAGATTTAAGTTAGATCTCATCTGTGGAAACTCTAAATTACTCACGAAGGATGCTTAATAAGATTGTTCGATGAGACTCTCAGTCTCTCATACGAGATTATGAGTTGAGCCTTGGCTGATGAGACTTCCAAGTCCCTCCGGCGAGGCGCTGAGCCCCCTGAGACGAGACTTCCATCGAGCCCTCAGACAAGATTTTACTTAAAGTCTCTTGAGTCAAACTTCAGTCGCACCCCTTGGGATAATCTTAAAGTTAGTTACCGCCCTTAGAAACTCTAAGTTAGTTAGGCGAGGTGCATATATAAGCCTATTTGATGGGAATCTCAGTCCTTCAAGCGAGAAAAATAAAGAAATGAAGAAAGAAACGTGTACACCTTATTTCCCCCTTTGCAATCATCAACTTCGGTTCTAATAGTGAGGTCCAAAACTACCTACTTCTTCAACTCACTGCCACAATCATTATTGTGACCCTCCACTGAAATATGCACAAAAATAAGAAACCCCAAATCACTCGGGGTGTGTTTGGTTCAAGTAGATGGAAGGGAGTAGAAATTTTTAATTAAATATGTTGAGTTCAAATTTTACGAGGGGAAAGGAAGGGAGGAGAGCAAAACCCTTCCAAAACACATTTTTTGCAACCCTCCAAATTGTGGGATTTGGAGAGACGGAATTTACTAAAATATACTTAAGCTAATTTTAATATTTTAAAATTATTTATTTTCTTTCGTATTAATGCTTTTCTTTTGTGTGACTTTTTCTCTATTGTTTTTATCAACTTATTATAACTATTCTCCGCTTTCAAATTACTTTTGAATTTTTGTACTTAATTATAATCACTGAATTTTTCTGTTTTTTTAAAAATGATTTTTTATGTTTATTTATGTTTTTTTTTCTTTCTAATTTTGTAATTTATTTTATTATATTTACTTTTATATCAAACTTTAAACCATTCTATTTATTTGTTTTTTGTTTATTCGTTTTATTAAAAATTTAAAATACTTTAAAAAATTCTTTTATATATTTGTTTTGTTAGATGATTCAACACAATTAAAAGTTGTTATAAACAATAATTTAATTTACGTAAGAGAGATATACTCTAAATCAAATGTATTCAATTTTTTAACGTTATGTGATAAGTTATAATTTTTTAATCACTCAATATTAAAAATTTATTACCAAAAAAATATGTACGAATTTTTTACCTTTTGATTATCATACTACTTATATACATGTTAAGGATAAAAATGTAAATTATTAATAAAATCAAATATATTTTTGATTAAAAAATTTCCCCTCGTTTAAACCAAACATATATAAAACTAAAAAAAAATCTCTCACCTCCCCCTTCCATTCCATTCTCTCTATTAAAATCTCCTCCCTCTCCTCCTCTTCATTTGAACCAAACAGACTATGAGCGAAGTCAGAATCTGTAACCATTGACAATACTTGCAAATATAAAAGGTTTTATTTATCAATTTAACATGTTTAGAGAATAAGGTTGTGGTGAATCGGGTGCAATGACATCGCCATCACATGCAATATGTGAAGAGATTGTGAACATATAGATGATAATAGAATCATCGCCGCTGCCGTAGGTAGCAGCTTAATGTAATTTGAAATTGAGATTCAGGTCAGTTTTACTAGGTCTCACGGTAGATGTCGATGTACTTACTTTTAAAAAGTACAGATGTGTGGCACCCCTGTGCTGGTAGGGGTGGGCAGAGGATTTAGATTTTATGATGGTTAGGGCAAGTCCACAGTGGTGAAAAACTATTTTGAATTTGTTTTGGTGTGGAGAGAGCGAACTTGCAAGGGTGAGAAACTCTGTATTTGGGCCTAGTGAGCAGTTATGCCCTATTTCCATGATCAAGAAAGTGCTCAAGGGAAGACTTGTTCTTCCTAAAATCATGGAGGAAGTGGTTTCCTCTTTTGACCGACTCTCTTTGGTTAGTCATTGTGGGTCCATGTCATCACCCATGTTTATTGGGTGAGTGTACAGTGGGGACCTAATCCAGGCGGCCTCGTAACCTTTTTCCGGGCGATCATATAGTCCATTTGGGCGACCTCTGACTTTGTAGGATAGCTCACCCCCTCACCATTACGCCTGACTTCCCTTGTTTTTCATAAATTATCTCTTCTTAAAAGACAGTAAAATTATACCATTATAGAGAAAATTTTGAATTTTTTCTATTTAAAAAACTATTTGGAGTGATCAAACGATTATTATTAAATTTTCTTTAGACAATTAATTATAATTCTCCTCGCTTAAAAAATTATTTATAGTGGTCAAATGACCATTGTTTAAATTCTCTTAAAGAATAATTT